ATGGTCCCCTCCTCTCCAAGTGGTCCATACTCCTCTTTACATATGACTAGGACACTTGTTGATTTATTACTTGCATATATATTTAATTTAATTTAGCTTTAAATTAATTTGTGGAATTTCATGAATCCCACATTGATGGGATAGAAATTCCCACTCGTACTTTCCTCTATAAATACCAACCTTGGGATTTGGAGTAAAGTGCTTGAGTAAGAGTTAGAAAGAGCATTCCTTATTTTGGAAAAACTCTTAAACTCCATTAACACTTGGGTTTTGGTCGGACCTTGCTAACTCCAAGGTAGCGGACCTAAAAAGTCGTGTTCATCCTTTGTGGGTGGATACCGTTGGAGGCACGACATTTGCGGTGCTCAAGGCTTTCAAGTGACAGCCCGTTTTGAGAGGGCGAAGCTCGCTTCAAGGGTATGATTCGTTCTTCCTTTTCTTGTGTTTACTTATTTATGCTTTATGGTTTTATTAATTACGAGTGGTTCCTTGGGTCGGTGTTGTTTCCGCGGTGAGTCGGACTCACCAAACCCCAACAATTAAAATCAAAGCTCCAGGCGGATCACCTTGCTGATCTCCGAGAAACCTTCACCACACTCAGGCGGCATAGGGTTATGTTAAATCCCAAGAAATGTGTTTTTGGTGTTGAGTCTGGGAAGTTTCTCGGATTTTTAATTGATCAAAGGGGAATAGAGGCTAACCCCTAGAAGATACAGGCGGTAATCGACATGAAGTCACCCAGCACTGTTAAAGAGGTTCGGAAGTTAACTGGTTGCTTGGCAGCCTTGGGTAGATTTCTCAGCCGGTCAGGTGACAAATGCCTTTACTTCTTCCAAGCAATCAGGAAGAAGACTAGGTTTGAATGGGGGGATGATGCTGAGGTGGCCTTCTAGAAATTGAAAGAACACTTGCACTCTTTGCCAAGGATAGTCAGCCCTCTGCCCAAAGAGATGTTATTCATGTATCTAGCTGTCTCTGATCATGCCCTCAGCATCGTTCTCCTTGCTGAAAGAGACGGCATCCAGCTCCCTGTCTATTTCGTTAGCCATGTTCTTAGGAATGCTGAGCTCCGGTACCCCATGGTTGAAAATTTTGGCCTTGCTCTTTATATGGCATCCAAGAATTTGAAACCCTACTTCTTGGCACATCCGGTTGTTATATATACAGACCAACCTCTCAAGTGGCCAATGTCTACCTTGGAGTCATCCGGTAGAATGTTAAAATGGGCTATTGAAATGCAAAGTCTTGAAATCACTTACGAACCAAGGAAGGCAGTGAAGGGTCAGGCGTTCGCCGACTTCATTGTTGAAATGACATGTCCGGTTCCCCCGGATAATCCCAAACAGGTTTGGAAAGTGTATGTAGACGGGAGCTTTACAAAAAATGGTTGTGGTGCAGGCGTCATCTATGAGTCTCTTGAAGGAGATAAATTTGAGTATGCACTACGATTTAAGTTTCAGACCTCAAACAATGAGGCGGAGTATGAGGCCCTACTAGCCGGCATCCGTATGTGTAAGGCGGCTGGGGCAACGAAAATTGACGCCTACTCTGATTTGCAATTGGTTGTTAGCTAGTATGAGGGCATCTTTGAAGCAACTCATCCGACTATGATCAAATATCTTCAGGCGGTCAAAGAAGAAGCCAGGACACTTGAAGAATTCCACTTGAGTCAAGTTCCTAGGTCATACAACAATCAGGCAGATGCATTGTCCAAGTTAGCATCCTCCGCCTGCTGTGACACACCTCGGTCAGTCTTTTGGGAAGTTCTAGAAAAAAGAAGTATACATGAAGAGCCCATTGGAATTCTTTACCGAAGTTCCACCTGGATGGATGGCATCCAGGCTTACCTTACTGATGGAACGCTTCCGGATTCACCCCAGGAGGCGGCCATCCTGAAAAGCAAGCTGCAACCTTCAAGATGAGAAACGGAGAACTCTTCAAGGCTGGTTTCCTTAAGCCTCTGTTGAAGTGTGTTACCCCAGAGAGAGGGAAGGAGATTCTCGAAGACCTACATGCGGGGTTCTGTGTCTCCCATATAGGCGGCAGGTCTTTGGCTGTCAGAGCCAGACGGCATTACTTCTGGCCAACTCTTGAATCATATGCCATGAAAATGGTTAAAAAATGTGACAAGTGTCAAAGGTTTGGCAAAATGATCCACCGTCCGGCTATTGATCTGACAGCAATCCACAGCCCGGTATTGTTTGCTAAATGGGGCATGAACATCCTTGGTCCTTATACACCTGCTCAGTGGGTGGAGGCAGAGTCCGTCAAGAACATCAAGACAAAGGATGTCATCTCTTTCATTTGGAAGAACATCATCACCCGGTTTGGGGTACCTATGTCTATGGCGTTCGGTAATGGCCCTCAGTTTGAAACACCTCAACTCACAACTTGGTTGGGAGATCAGGGAATCTCCAGCTACTTTGCTTCAGTTGGTCGACCCCAAGCAAACGGCCAAGTTGAAGCCTTTAACAAGCTCATCTCAGACGGCATAAAGAAGAAAATTGAAAGAGCCGGTGGTCTATGGGAAAAAGGATTAATCCATGTCCTATGGGCCATCCGGACTACTGCAAAGAGGGCAACCGGCGAAACCCCATTCCTCATGGTTTATGGTGCTGAGGTCGTCTTGCCCATTGAGTGTTATGAGCCTACTCTAAGAGTCATGCTATATGATGAAGAGGCAAATTGGGAGGCCATGCGGCTTGCATTGGACTCCCTCCCAGAACGCAGGGGCAATGCTGCCCTGGGCCATGAGATATACCGTCTAAGAATGACCATAGCCTACAACAAGAAAGTGCACAAGCGTCCCTTGAAAGTGGACGATCTTGTGTTGCGAAAAATGGAGGCAACCGGTAGGGCGAATGAACTTGGAAAGTTAACTCCCAATTGGGAAGGTCCCTACCGGATCTATGAAGAAGTAAGAGACATCACCTACCGCCTGGAGACACCAGACGGTAGGCGGCTGCCCAGAACTTGGAATGTAGACAATCTCAAAAAGTACTACTTCTAAGCATTGTAAATTTTTTGTAAATAGTAAGCCTATGAATGAAAAAGTTGTTTCCTGTTTTCAAATTATGTTTTTAAGTTATTTATCATGTTGTTTACTTAACATACATGCGCCCTACTATGTAAGCTATCTGCTTTGAGAAGCAGATAGAACCGTTTGATCTGAATAAGAGGCCAATGGCCAGAGATCAAACTCAACACAAAAAGGCTTAGTGGCTATACAACCGCCCTTCAAACAAGGCATGAGGCTCTAAGCCGGATGGTTAGACATTTTATAAACTCGTCTGCTCCAATGCAAAACATGGCGTCCGGCGACGCCCCTCCGGGTGTTATCGTCGCAGAGAGCATTCTATTGTTTGCTCTACCAACACATACAGACGGCAAAGATTGAACGGTCTAATTGACCAACTCATAGCCGCCTGCCCTTAGTAACTTGAAGAACGAATCGGTCTTATGAAACCGAATGGTCATTATATCACCCGGCAATTGACCAAAGTTTTAACTCAGGTTACTCCTAGAAATTATACAGTCTCCCTAAATGGGGCAAACATGCTAAGTATAATTAAAAAAAAATTGTGATTATCAACCTACATAGACGGACCGATTCTAAAATTGGCCCTAGTAGAATAACTTAAACCTGTTGAAGGCACCTGAGGCTTCCTTGAAAATACAAGTCCGTCTGCTATCGTAATAAAAGAATAGCAGGTGGAGTAAGAAGATTTTATATTCTAATTCATGCACATGTAATATTTATAGCATGACTAGTCATCTAACCATGACATCAAGGTCGAAAGACCGCCTGCATTCAGCACCGTCTGATCATATGGCCGGCTGTGTGCTTGGCTTGGGGCAATCACCATAATGATTGATTGACCTAGAAATCAGTCATACCCTTCTTTGGTATCACCAATTTCCAGTCAATCAACCAACTTGTAAACCCAAGCGCACAGTCGTCCAGGGGCAAAGCATCCGGTACACCATAAGCATCCGGTATGCCATACCTATCAAGCCCAAATTCAAATGCAAAATTTAAACACAAAGTATTAAAAGCAACCGACCTAACGGCCGGATGATTCATCATTAATTAAAAAGCTGACCCCTTGGTCAGCCAAAATATTGTTAAGTGACCCGACCCCACGGTCGGTAAAGAAACAAGGAGATACTCGGCACGCAGGCCGAAAATGCATTCAATATGGACATACGGCCGCAGTAAAAACTCAGAAATAGCTTAATTAGCCCCGGGACCCGACTGCTCTCCATTATCATCCGCCCCTTCGTGCTCATTGGCGGGATGATTGAAAGTTTGATCCTCAGCTTGATCCCGGTGCTCCCCATCCAAGGCTCCCTCCTCCGCCTGCTCCTGCTGCTCTTGATCCAAGGCGTCGGTCGCCTGCTCATAACGATACTCCCAGATGGAGTAATCGTCATTAGGAAAGAGAGACTTCCATGCCATCTTCATTCGAGTGACACAATCGGCCTCATTCTCCTCTATGAGCTTGCACTTCTCCTCTTCAGCGCGCTTCTCATACTTGGATCTGAGCTGCTCCTCCTGGTTGGCAAGTTTTTTCTTTAAGTTCTCGACCTGACGACGGAGACTGGTTGTGTCTCTGTCGATGTCCTGTAACTTGCCAAGCTCCACCTTGGTCGCCTTCAGCTCCCCCTTGAGCTCAGCCACCTTCTGCTGAGCCGCCTCCAAATCCTTCTTAACCTGCAAGTTGGCAGCCGCCTGAGAATACAGGATATCCCGAGTTAGCAACTCATTCTTGTTTACATCATACTGTGCTCTGTTAAGATTGGAGGCGGCCCTAAGGTTGGTAGCTCTTACCTCCTTGGTCTTCTCGTTGAATGGCTTTTTGAGCCCATTCACTCGCAGCATAGCCTGCATCCGGACAAGAGAAAAGGGTCGTTAGCAAAACAAGCGGTCCGAATGAGATTTTAAGTTGAAATATATTAAGTTCTCACCTCAGCGAGAAGAGCAAGGATAGCATCCAGGTTCAGCCAACTCCCCGGATGGAGTCTCGCTGCTCAGCAGTGACTCCTTTTCGGAGCATTTCCTTAGCAATTTCTCTAAGGTCTGGAGCTTGGGAGGGGGCTTCTGCATAACAAGAATCAAGTTGGGTGTTAGAGTATACACATCCAGCATGAAAAGAGAAAACAAGACTGGGTGATTGTATGCATGCATTCGGCAAAAGATAGAATAAATTTGGGTATTACTACACATACATCCGGCATAAGCAAAAGGCCGCATGATAAGCTATACTTAGCAACAAAAATAATGAAAAAAAAAAGAAAAAAAAAAAAGAAGAAAAGTGAAAACTCAAGTACCTGAAATGACAACCAGGTCCTGTACCTGCTTGCCGCGGCGCTTGTCAGGGGAGCCTGCTCCAGCAGACGGCGAATCCTTGGAAGCTTTGGTTTCGGACTCCTGCTTTAGAGCAGAGAGAGCAGCCGACAATTTACCGCCGGTGGAGGGGTGAGACTCGGAGTTGCTGGCGGATGGCTTGTGAGCCACAGTCTTCCGAGAGCGCTTGGAGGTAGTCGGAGCCGCCTCCTCTGCAGTCCGCTTAGGGGGCTTAAGGTTCACCCCAGGGACGACTGGAGGCTTCACTGAGCCCTCATGTACAAAGATTCACAAGTTAGTGAAATTATGGCTAAGTTAATGAGAAAAGGCCGGATGAAAAAAGGACTTACATGTTCAAGCTGCTCCCGCTTGAAGATCTGATTTTTCTTGTTCATCATCTGGCGGTAGGCGTAGGCGGTGCCGCTTGGCTTCTTGTTTGGGGTAAGCTGAGACATTGCTTCTTTTGCAAAAAGGCCGGATGGGTGGTTAGAAAACAACAATAAAAAATTTTTGCTATAAGTAAAGCATGCATGATATAACCCCCATCCGTCTACCCACCTCTTCCTTTTTCTAAGCTCAGGCCATAGGCGGCCAAATAGGTCGGGTCCTTGAGCCATTCATATTGGGGGATGTAGCTGTTGAACTTGATTTCCTTCTCATAACCCCCCTCTATTGCCTGCACTTCTACCTTAAACAACCCAAGGTCAAGAATTTTATCCCAACCTTCTTCAGAGACAGGCGGTAGAAGGGCCTTTTGGCCTAAGGGATAAGGGTTCTGGTTCCAAGAGTTGAACTTGGCATTCCGGCTGGTGTCTGGGGAGGTGATTATATAGAATTTGTTCCTCCATTCCTTCCACTTGGACTCCTTCCCAAGTGTCATCATGTACCCCTTATTGCTAGTAAGGGTGTACCACCCGGGGCCAGCTAACTGAGTTGACTGAGGGGCTTTGCTCAAGTAGTTCATAGAAGCAAACGCCTCAAAGCCAGGTTCAACGTTTTGCATCCTGCAGGCGGCTACATAACCCAGGATGTTCACCCATGAATTTGGGGTGAGTTGCCACACCCCCAGGCGGTACCCGTCTAGGATCGCCTCAATGGCCGGATCCAAGGGTAACCTCAGGCCCGCCTATATCACTGCGGCATAGCAGCCGAATGCAGTGTCCTTATAGCTTTGGTTAGGGGGCCAGACTACAGCATCCGTCAAAGCTGGCACTTTGACTTCATATCCGGCCCCCATGACATAAGTGTCCCTAAAGTCACTCAACCCCTTCAACATTATTTTTTGGGTGGAAAGGGAAATGTGTGTGAAGTAAGGGGTGTATTCGTCTTGAAGGGAAGAGGACGCCTCACCTTGACCCCTTGCAGGGGAAGCGGGCTCCTCATCAGGTTTTTCAGACGGCTCCTGTTCAGTTTCGGAGCCGCCTGAGTCAGAGGTTGAGGTTGTGAGGGAGAAGGAGTGGGAAGACCCCTGGTCAAATTCAGTTTCCTGTTGACCAACCGGCATGCCCAGAATTGAGTCTTCCGGAGTGCTTGGGATGCCTGGTTTGTCATAATACACCTCGCTCCAAGGCACCCTAATGGAGCCATCCCCCTCTTCAGTTCTAGATGTTCGTTTGGTTCTAGCCATGGTGTCCTACACAGACACAGAGACGGTCGGATTGGGGGACGGATGAAGAGTGGGGAAAACGGCACCCCTAGTCCTAGATTCAGCCGTCCCAGGTGATCGGCTGACAGCTATCCTAGGCCGTGCCGAATGTGTTTGTGAAACCATTTTATGAAAGCAAAGGAAAAACAAACACAGGCGGAAATTTTAAAAGTTTAAACAGAAGAGAGCCAGACGGTTACCTTGATAAAGGTACGGTTAACTTGAAATGAGCTGGTTGGTGCAGACGGACAGCAACAAGCGGTAGAGTATACAATTTTTTGTGAAAATTCTCTAGAAACTCTCTCAAATTTCACGCAAAGATGCGTGAAATGAGGGTGAAAAAATTACTTTTATAGAGGGGTAATTCAGGGGCACCTCGGTAATACCCCAGAGGGTGAACAGTAAAATTTTACTTCACCAAATGAGACGCTGACATGTGTCACAGACGCCCCGTGGCGCGCTACGTCACCTTTGTGACAGGGGCAAATGTTTTGGGTAAAATTACCCTACCACGTGGCGGCCTGAGAATAATAAGACACGTGTCCGCCCAGCATTAGGACACTTGTCCGCCCAGCATTGGTCTAAACAAGACCAACCGAATACTGACACGTGGACCCCACTGTCATGTCATGGAATGGCGGCTTTCAGGCCCAATTCCCCATAACTTGTCATAGCCCACCAAATCTAGGTCACATGACCTAGAATAAGGGCACATTTTCCCATGACCCTATAAATAGGGAGAAATTCCCCATTATGGAAAAAAGGATTATTCAATCATTTATTACATCACCTGCATTTCTCTCACATCAGAGAAAGCACCTGATCTCGGGATCTGTAAAGATCTCATCTTTATCTTTTTTTGCACTTTTTACTCACTCCTACACATTCTAACTTGATCGTCGGAGGCGGAACTCCAACCAACATGAGTCTCCGTTGTTTTGCAGGTACAGGCCGCACCGGACCAATCTTAGAGTTGTAACTCTCCAAAGGGACTAAAAACACCCAAAACAAGGCCTATTATTAGGGTAGGTTCTTTCTCTTTTAGATTGAATTTGTACCTTCATCCCCGAACACCAGTCATGGTTCCGGACCTATTGGAGTTGACGATCTCATGGATCGTTAAGGGGTGTAACCTTCACCCTGTGAACGGTTTACAAGTTCCTAAAACTTGTTGGTGACTCTTTTGCTCTAGCTTCCTTCCCTTTGACGCCAACATGCTTAAGTGTATGATCACAGTGGGATTCAAGTTTGGGGAAATGCTTGAAATATTCCCTACACCCTTTTTTCCAGATCTGTAACATGAAATTCATACAAATCAAAATATGAAATACTAGATCTAGAACATATAAATAAATAACAAATACGAAGTAATTAATAATTTATTGTATGACATAACATTATATATTAATATGAATTTCTGAAAAAACAAATATTGTCAAGCAAAAGATGATTTTTTTTTTCACAAAAACATCAATAACATGAAGAACATAACAAGAGAGAGAAGAGAGACAAAATCGAAATTCAAAACGCAAAATTTTTTAAGCAAAGATAATATGCAATTAATTAGTCATGACATATAATTTACATTATATATAAAAAAAATACTAGAAAAAATGTGGAAAAAAAAATTAATTTGAAGTTAAGTACATGAAGAACAAGAAGGAGAAGAGAGAGAAGAGATAAAAAGAAGTCCGAAAAATAACCAGACAAAAAAAATGAGAGGGATAAAGGGGTGGTTGGGACTCTGGGGGTCATTCAATGTGCATTAAAAATACAAATTAATTTGAAATTATTTGAAACTTTTGGTTTAAAATTTGAATGAAATATTAAAATATATTATTTTTGGGGCCCAAACCTTATATCAATAAAAGAGTGCCACATCATCAGTTTATACTTGGCCCACATAAACTCAGTTTATGTGTAGGAGTGTTGTCAAATTTCAAACCGAAACCGTTAAACCACCCGAAACAAATCAACCTAGATGAGAACCAAACCAATTAAAAACTTTTTTTAAAAGAAAACCAAAAACCAACCCGAACCGTATGTGAATGAATCCGAAACCGAACCGATTCGAATAACGTTACACCGTATAAGAACTGATGGGTGTCATAAATGTCACCCATTTGATGAGCATTTAAGTCGTTTTTACCTTCTTTTCATAGCTTTCTTGCTCAATAAATGTTGAGTTTTATGCTTTTTCTCTTTATTTTACCTTTTACTCTCTTATTTTGTGGTTTTGTGCATTTTAATGGGTTTTCTAGTCTTTTCTCCTTTATTTGCTTTCTTTTTGTGGTTGTAGGTATTGTAAGAGGTTTGGGTCTTAATATGGATGGATTATTAAGGTGGAAGATGCTTTTGGAGCGAGCTCATGGCATTTGGAAAACTCAAGATGCAAGGAAGTGGATTCTCCAAGTTCTAGCTCTTGCGCTCTCAAGCCGTGCTCTCATGAAGATGGGGTGTTGAACCCACAATCAAGTGCTTTTGGGAATACCTCTCTTAGTGTTCATCATCATCATCATGTTGTGCGTTCATTCAAAGACCTTATCGAACGCACGAAGGCGCGAGAAGATCCGATGAAACCTAGAAGAGCACGGGCACGCAGGCCTGATGCGCGGGCGCTCCTCTGCGGGTTCCGGCTTTGCTCTTCTTCGTTTTGCACCTCTTATAAATACCCTTTTGAACCCAATTTTTGTAAGCAAGTTTCATTTTAGATTTAGATAATATTCTTAGCTTAATTGAGAGCTTCTCTCTCTAGTTCTAGGGTTAGTTTAGGAGTAGATTTTAGAGAGAGAAAGTGAGGAATTTTAATGGTGATTGAGAGATTGAAGATTTAATGGTGACAATTGTGTTGAAGATATTCTGTATTATCAATGAGAATTCTTAACTCTATCTCATTTTATTGCTTTGTTTGATTTCATATTTGTTGGTTTGATTTTGATGTTTGATTGCTGATTAGTGTAGTTATTCTTCATATATTGTTGATTCTTGATTTCTTTAGTTGTTAGTTGATTAGATGATGATGTTAGAGTATTTTTTTGCTAGGAATTGGGTGAAACTTGTATGATTAATTGATTGTGCTTAATATGGGGATTGTGTTGATTAATTGTTGAGATTAAAGTGATTAATGGAAGTTTGCATGTGTGTAATTCGATTAGACCTTGAGAATTATGCTAAATTGCACGATAGTTTCTAATGATACGGACCATTGATTTAGGAATTGCAATTGTCGATTGAGCTTGATTAGTGATGCTCCTAGTTAGAGTATCTCGTAGTTGGCGCTAGTTTGACCTCTAGGAGATAGCTTGTTGACTTTTTTGATTGAGCTTGCCATTAATCTTCACAACCATTGACTTGCATGTATTTCCGAGTTGTTACAGTTGTCATAATTACTTGTTGATCCCCGTTTCTAGTGTTTTATTTGTTTGATTCTTCGTTTTGTTAGTTGGTTAGTGTTTACCTTTAATCCTTAGACTTCGACCTATCTTAGGCGCATAATTGAGAGCGCTTGAACATTACCGTTCCTTTGGGTTCGACCCTTGACTTGCCTCTATACTAGTATATAGGTTTGTTAAGTGTTTACAAATTTAGTTTATTTGACCAAGGGAGGATTAGTTCCAACAACCTAGTTCCACCCCTCGTCAAGAACCGAACCCGTTAATGAACCAAACAAGTTCTAAATCGAACTAAAAGCAAATCAAACCGAAAAAGAACCGAACTGTTTCTAACCCGAAACCGCTTTCAACCTGAAACCGTTTGAACCGGGATAAAAACCGTTTACACCGAACCGTTAACAACACGCGACCCGTTATCACCGAACTGTATATAAACCAAACCGTTTATAAACCGAACCCTTTGCAAACCAAATCCACATGGTTAGCAAGTACTATCAAATTTCGAACCAAAACCATTTAACTGCCCAAATCCAAATGACTCGGTAAACAAACGATTTTTTGAAACAGAAAACCGACTCGTACCGTAATTTAGTAAGCTCAAAATGTAAACGATTCGAACAACGTTAAACCGTAGAAGAACCGAACCAGTTATAATTTGAACCGAAAAAGAACCGAACCAATTATAAACTGAACTGAAAAAGAACCGAACTAGTTATAAACTGAACCAAAAAAGAATCGAATTGTTTCTAACCCGAAACCGTTTCCAACCCGTAACTGTTTAAATCGGGATAAAAACCGTTTACACCTAACCGTTAACAAACTGCAACCCGTCTGCACCGAACCGTTTACTACCTGGACTGTTTACGACCCGAACTGAATTAAAACCGCTCAAGAATAAACCAAAACCGAATCAAACTGATAACTATTTAAATCGAACTGAAACCGACCCGCGAGACACTTAAACAGATTTCAAACCGAGCCAAACCGAACCCGAACTGTCAAACCGTTGTGTAGCCTTTGCCGTGTAATTATATTATGTTGGTGTAATATAAAATTAGAAAATGATGTCGGAAAGGGTACACATAGACATAGTCTATGTGTACCCCACATAAACAAATATTTCTATTGGCTGAAAGAAGTTGGCCCACTTAATCCCAGGTGCATAGCTTTGAAATTTCTCTTTGAAAATTTTGCGAATGAAAAATTTTGAATTTCAAATTGTAAATTTGAATTTAATTGTACTTTGGTGGTGAATGATGTTGGAGGATTTCCGAGAAGACGTCATGGAGGGCCGATGAAGGTGGCTTAAAGGTGAAGGGCGAGAATGGTGGCTTTAAGGTGAGGGCTGACGACGGTGGCTTTAAGCTAAGGGTCGATGACGATGGCTTTAAGGTGAGTAAGGTGGTATAGAGGAAAGGAAGGGTCGATGGTCGGCGTATTCCAAGAGTGATGTGTATGAAACAACAGTTGGCGAAATCAGAGAGTGATGGTCCATACGATGGTCAAAAACAATGGAGGCTAAAATCAAAAGCAAACTACGGCAGGTGAGTGAGCGAAAGAGAGGACGGAGACCATATGTATTGTTGTAGT